AGGCAAGGATTCTGAGGCTCCGTCTAACATACTTTGGACATGTTGTGAGGAGAGACCGGTCCTTAGAGAGGGACATCATGTTTGGGAGGGTGGACAGATGGCGCAGGAGAGGAAGGCCCTCTATGAGGTGGATTGATTCAGTGACTAGAATAATTGGGATGGGAGTGTCAGAGACAGTGCGATTGGGACAGGACAGAGCGGAGTTTAGGGCTGTTGTACATAGGGTGGCTATGAGTCTCAGGCGACTCGATGGCACATAACAACAACAACAACAACAACAACCTTCTCATCACTGGTAACTATCCCAAGATAATCCTGTGTGTTAACTTTCTTTAACTTTTTGTAAGAGTGTACACAGTCTTTTTCATTTTCTCCCTAACTCATTTCACTCACCATGGTATTTTCTAGATTCAGATATGCTATGCAGAGTTCCACAAATCCTTATAATTGATCTTCATTTATAAATGTTCCACCTCATACCCCTGTCCAATTTTTCCATTCTCTTAAAGGAGTTGATTGAGATGAAATACAAATTTCCCAGTAAGGGGTTTGCTAACACATTCATCTGAAAGGAGATCCTACAACCTTTCCAGAAAGTGTTGTTGTTGATGTGCATTACTGAGTCAGAAATAATCCAAAGATGACCCTTCAAGGGGTTTTCAAGTGACAATAACTTTCTCAAAAGGAAATTGCCCATCTTTTCTTCATGGAGTAGCTGGTGGATTTGCAACACCTTTGTTGGGCAGTTCAATTCCTTACCACAAAGCCACCAGAGCTTAAAGAAATTAGAAAGCAAACAAAAACCTCTTATCATCATTATAATAACTTTCTCTGTCTACTATTAACATTGATATGAAAATTATCACAAAATTCTGAAGACCCTTCCGTTTGTTCTGAGTTTCAATCTGACTCTTTAAGGAAATGAAAAAACTTGCAAAAGCTAGTGCCGAGCCCACCACTTTTGTTATCATTAGGTGCTTTCAAGCCTCCTGGGCAAGTTACAGCCTCTGAAAACCCACTGGAGGGTCACCTATGAGTCAGGTCCGACTCCACAGCGCATAACAATAACCTTCCCTCCCATGACACAGCAGACCTGCCCCGGAAGGCTTTCTAGGGTGCACATCGTCACAGGAGCAGATCACCAGCTCCGCAAAGCTGAGTGGATTTGAACCACGAACCTACTGCTTAGCAGCTGATCATGGGCTTCATTCAATTAATTATAAAGAAACTTCTCGGCTTCTGTAAATCATGCAGTATTCATACATTTGTGTGCCATCAAGTCAAAGTCAATTTACAGCTGACCCTCTAACAAGTTTTCACAGTTAATTGATAAGAGAAGATTGCCCATCTTTCTCCCTGGGAGCAGCTGGTGGATTTGAACCATGTGCATTTGCAGATCCAGTGCAACCCCTTATCACCAGAGCCTTCTACAGAAATTGCTAAGGAGGCTTAAGTAGCTTAAATGGAACTGGTTATGGACTATACAGCAAACTCAACTGTTTGCACCACAGAGCTGTTATCCCTCTGATCTTGCAAACTCTTTTACCTTAGACTTGTTTTGATGGAGCGTTGATATTTGCTGTGTAAGCCTTACCTAGTGATGCAGAATATCAAGGAGGCCACTTATGATTCTGAGCCACATCCTTGCATCAAAAATTTCAGAAGCACTTTGTTCCAGAGGTAGGTTTTTAAAGGCTGATTGGCAGGTGAATGTCACCATCTCATGAGAAGGACAAAAAGATCCAGCTTGGTACAGAACATTCCACTTACTGGCTTACATCTCTCACTTGAGGAGACAAAGTCCACAGGGAATGTGCGTGGCTATAGTGCTGTGAGAAGCCTGCTGCTTACTGAGATGTGGGGAAAAACAGGGAAGGGTGCCCACTCAAAGGAGCATGAGAAAGCAACAGAGCTCAGCCTGGAGGAAGACCAGCTGTTGGTGCTACCAGCTATACATTTTAAAATGTACAACTAGCAAACCTCAGCCAAGAGTCAGTTCTGACTCAACAGTACATAACAGCAACAAGCTACAAAGAAATAAGGGCAAAGAATGAAAGGCAATCAAGAAGACGTCGTAGGAAGAAAATAAGAATACTAAGCAGAGGAGAAAAAAAAATCTTTAAAAAGAAGACAAACACATATTCTAGAGCTTAGCAATACAATAATTGTAGCACAGTTAGTGTAGGACACTACCATAGTGTCTTATTGAAGGGCATTCACTACAAGATGACCACGAGTGAACAAAGATTGTTTAAAACATTTCAGAAAATCTACTATTTTGTTCTGTTTCAGACAGTATTTCCTGGTCTCCCAATGTGGATACACGTAATCAGAATATAAACTCAAGAGTAGCAACTATTTCACCTGAAATTCCTGCTACCTAGTAGAGAACCGGGACCATGTGAGATAAGATTTATTGAATAATAGTGGAGGTTCTGCAAGCCAGACTCGTCTCTCATTTTGCAATATTCTACTGACCCTCAAAACCCACACCTATTGATACAGTGGGCTAGTAGTATGTTGTGCTAGTAGTATGTTTTGTGCCATTGATCCAGCACCAACTCATGGCTAACACTCCAGTGGTAGTTAAAGGTAAGGGGTGAGAGCTGTTGAATCCATCTTTAACTCATAGTAAGCACATAAGGTAAGAGTTCTATTGCCCCATATGATTTTTCTAGGCTAAAACCTTTATGGCAGTAGATCATAATATCTTTCTCCTACAGTCACTGAGCAGGTTGAAATCAGCTATATTTTTGTTAGAAGCTGACCATTTGCATAGCCTGGTATTCTGCAGAAATCTGGGAGTGCAGGGAAAGAATTTTAAAACAATAAAAACCTAACAAAAAATTGATCTGCATTTTACTATCACCACAAGGTGACAATTCTCAAGGATGTCTTAAGTTTCCAACTATCGTTAACATCTCTATTGAGGTTTAATAATATATGTGTAATTTTCAAATGACCAAGAAGGATAGAAAAAGAATTGATGCCTTTGAGTTGTGGTGCTGGAGAAGAGTATTGAACACACCATGGACTGTCAAGAGAACTAACAGGTCTGTCCAAGAGAGGGTGAAACCAAGTTTCTCCTTGGAGGCAAGGATTTTGAGGCTCTGTCTCACCTACTTTGAGCACATAGCCAGGAGGGACCAGTCTTTGTAAAAGGATATCATGTTTGGAAGGTTTGAGGGACAGTACAGGAAAAGAAAACCCCAGATGAGATGGATTGGCACAATCACTGGGGTAATGAGGGTAGGTGTGTGAGAGACAGTGAGACTGGCTCAGGACAGAGCAGGGTTCAGAGCTATTGTGCATGGGGTCACTATGAGTTGTAGTTGACTCAATGGTGCATAATTACAACCAAGTTCCAAAATGATACAGTTTTGTGCATCTGACTCCCAGCACCCACAGAATAGTTTCACACATCTCTACTCACTATACCACAATATTATTGTTTAAATAATGTATTTGGAAGGGTGATGATTGTACCATGATTGTAAAGATGAAGAAACAGAACTCAAATTACTTTAATTCTGCTGTTCTATGTGACCACTAGAGATTTCCTTTTTTAAACAATTTTATTGAGGTATAATTATATAAAATAAAATTCACTCACTCTCATTTAAAGTTCAAAGAATCTTGACAAATGCATGTAGTCACATAACCTCCATGATACGGGATATTTCCATTACCCTAGAAGTCTCCTCAGGTCTTTTTGTGGTTTATCTCCTCCCCTAAATTTTGACCTTGGTAATCACTGATCTCCTTTCTATGACTATAGTTTTGCCTTTTCTAAAATTGTATAGAATTAGAATTATAACCTGTGTGACTGGCTTCTGTGACTTAACATGATATTTGGAGGTTCAATTGTGCTGTATATCAATAGTGTCTTTCCACTTTTATTGCTTCATATCATTCCACTGTATGGATATACCACAACTTATTTACCTCCTCACCTGAAAATGAACATATGGATGATTTCTAGTTTTTTACTCTTATGAAAAAAGCTGCTTTAACTCTTGGAGTACATGTTTTGGACATGTTTTCAGGAGTGGCAAGTCTCTGGAGAAGAAACTCATGCTTAGTAAAGTAAAAGTTTACTGTAAAAGAGGAAGATTCACATGAGATAAATTAACATGGTGTCTGCAACAAGCATTCAAATACTGCATTGTTTGTGACTGCAAAAAAAAAAAACAAAAACAAAAACCAGGCAATGTTTTATTCTGTCGTACATGGAATCATTCTGAGTCATAACCAACATTACATCATCTACCAACAACAATAAAAGTGTAAAATTTTATTTCTCTTGGTTAGATAGTTTGTAGAATGAGATGTGTAAATATGTTGAGATCATAATTCCTGTCCCTATAAAAGGATTTCTGGATGGCACAATTGGTTAACCTTCTACTGCTAACCAAAAGATTGGTGATTCAGGCACAATCAGAGTGATAGTTTGCAGAAATGTCTGGCAGTCAGCTTCCCAAGGTCACATCCATCAAAATCCTAAAGAATATAGTTCTGCTTTATGACACGTAGGATCACAATAAATTGGAACCGACTCACTGGAATCTCAATGACCTGAGCCAATCTAAATTAGTTTTAATCATCACATATATGAAAGCTTGACAATGAATAAGGAGAATGAAAGGAGACATGATGCATCTGAATTATGATATGGGGGAGGATAATGCCTACACAAGGGGCTGTCAAAAGAACAAACAAATGTATCTTGGAAGAAGTGCCACCAGGATGCTTTTTTAAGTATAGAGGTGTGATTTCAGGATCATGTACTTTGGACAAGTTATCAGAAGAGACTAGTCCCTCACACATGATGGAGAAGGACATGATGCTTGGCAAAGTAGAGTATCAGAGACAAAGACAACCCTCAATGAGGTGGATTGACACTGTGACTGCAGCAAGGGGCCCAAGTATGTCAGAAATTATAAGGATGCCACAGGATAGATATGGTTCAGATCTGTTGTTCATAGAGTTTCTATGAGTTGTACTCAACGGCACCTGAAGACAACAATGATATTAGTTAGCTATTACCACATTAATAAGTAATCCAAAATGTAATGATTTAAACCAACAAGTGTTACTAAATTACAACTTCTGCATTCAGAAATCTGAGCATGTGTTGGCTGAGTCATGTGGTTCACTAGGCCACTAGAGCTCCCTCCTCCAGTTACTAGGTGGTTGTTGTTGTTTTTACGTGCCATCGAGTCACTTGTAACTCATAGTGACCCTATGTACAAGAGCCCTAAGCACAGTTCTATCCTGTGCCAACCTCGCGGTCTCAAATATACTCATTCCCACTACTCCACTCACAGAATCGATCCATCTCATTGAGGGTCTTCCTATGCTGCGCTGTCCCTCCACTCTCCCAAACATGATGTCCCTCTCCAAGGACTAGCCCCTCTTTGCAACATGTCCAAAGTATGTCAGATGAAGCTTCAGAATCCTTGACTCTAAGGAGTACTCTGGCTTCACCCTCTCCAAGACAAACCTGTTTGTTCTCCTAGCAGTCCATGGTATATTCAACACTCTTCTCCAGCATCATAGCTCAAAGGCATCAATTCTCTATCATCCCTATTCACTGTCCAACTCTCCGATGCATAACACATAATTGCGAAGACTATAGCTTGGATCAGGTGCATCTTAGTCTCCAGCATGACATTGTTGCTCTTCAGTACTCTTACAGTCAGAAATTGATAAAACATGCAATCAAGATTCATTGATAATAATGGGCAACTGGAACGCAAAAGTTGGAAACAGGGAAGAAGGATCAGTAGCTGGAAAACAAGGGCTCGGTGAGAGAAACGAGGTTAGAGATAGAATGATAGAGTACATTCAATGATTTATTCATTGCAAATACCTTTTATAAGAAACACAAACACAGGCTATACACATGGATCTCACCTGATGGTATGCATAGAAATCAAATAGATTACATTTGTGGAAAGACTTGCTGTAGAAACTCATTATCAGCAGTGAAAACCAGGCTGGGTGCTGATTGTCGGACATACCACCAACTACTCATATGTAAGTTCAAGCTGAAGTTGAGGAAAATTAAATCAAGTCCACGGGAACCAAAATTTGACCTTCAGTCTGTCCCACTTGAATTTTAAAACCATCTCAGGAAAAGTTTTGAGGCCTTAAGCACCAATGAGTGTAGACCAAATGAGCTCTGGGAGGATATTAAGAAAATCGTCCATTAAGAATCTAAAAGATCATCCAAAAGGCTGAAAAAGATGAAAAGACCAAGATGGATGTCAGATGAGACTCTGAGTATTGCATTAGAGTGCCAAGAATCCAAAGCTAAAGGAAGAAACCAAGAAATCAAAGAGCTGAACAGAAAATTTCAAAAGGCAGCAAAGGACAACAAAGCAAGATAATATAATGAAATGTGCAGAGAGCTGAAGTCAGAAAATCAAAAGGGCCAAACTCGCTCAACGTTTCTTAAGTTGATGGAGCTGAAAAACAAATTCAAGCCAAGGGTGGCAATACTCAAGGATACTTTGGGTAGAATGTTAAATGATCCAGGAAGTATCAAGAGAAGATGGACGGAGTACACAGAGTCACTGTATCAG